CATCCCCAGCACACAGCTGTCAAGAAGTAAAGGTCTCTCACCAACGGCCACATATAGCCCATCTTGAGAGTGGATGCCCCAGTAAAGTGTCAGACCACAGACACAGCCAACAACTTGACTTACATCTTGAAAGAGGGACCCTGAGCCTGAACCATTTAGTGTAGCCATGATCTACTACTTGACAGATATTTACTAAGGAATACACTTTGAGATGATTGTCATGTGACAAATGCTAACAAATGTGTACTCTAGTAGTCTGGAAAAAAAATGAGTTTCGAGTTTTAGTTCTGGTAAGGGGAGAGGAGATCGTAGCAAATCACCTCTTCACAGATAATCACCCCAGACCCTGAGAAACACAAGTGCATTTTTAAGGGCACCAGAAAGCAGCCAGAAGAGGGCAGAAATAGATAGGGATCCAATGGTTTAACAGAGGGAACTAACTATCTTGGGTGTCTACGTTTAGATGGATTTCCTCTACAGGGGCTCTCCCTTTCTCTGCCAAGGCCAGAAGTCAATTGTGACAGGACACAGATTTTGAGAAATTGAAAGCAGTAATCTCAGAAAGGACACAGCTATGGGGGAAAAACATAACGTTCACTCAATCCTTCAGCAACTCCCTGAAATATATATGTCTAGGCAATGTTCGTAAAAACAAAACAAAACAAAACTCTAGGAGGAAGACAACAGGTCCAAACCAGGGCAAGCTGTGCACCAAGCTCTATGACCCTAGGATGCAGGTTTCCACTGAAATACCAAAAAGTCATGGTACAAGAACAAAAATTATATTCCTGACCAAGTCTGTAAGACTATATATAAGTCTCTCAAAATTCAAACTTAAGTCACTGCTATAACAAAATTTTACAGTATTCAGAAAAAACCCAACAGGCTCTAAATTCTACAATATAGATTATTTTTATTGTATAATAAATTTTATTATATAATTATACAATAAAAGTAACTAAACATGCAAATAAAAGAGTATGTGAACCATTGTAAAGAGGGGAATTAATCGTTAGGAACCTAAAAATGACAGGATTACTGGACCTAGTACAGAAGACTCTAGGAACTCTTGCTGCTGGCCCAGAGAGTCTAAGATAAAAGATACTTAGAGTGAAGATGTGGGGAGTCTCGAGGAAGATTTAGAGATGGTTAGAAGAAATAAAGCAAACTGAAAACTTAAGACAGAAAAATACGATAACTGAAACTTTGTAATTAGGTGGAATTAAGAACAGACTGGGAGGCTGAAGAGATGGCTCAGTGGTTAAGAGCACTGCCTGCTCTTCCAAAGGTCTGGAGTTCAATTCCCAGCAACCACATGGTGGCTCACAACCATCTGTAATGGGATTTGGTGCCCTCTTCCTGGCCTGCAGGCATACACACAGGCAGAATACTGTATACATAATAAATAAATAGATCTTTAAAAAAAAAAGAACAGACTGGATACAATAAAAAGAAGTCATACTCAGAGACAGTATCACACTAACCATCTAATTAAAAGCAAACAGACAAAGATTTTCAAATATGAACAGAGCCTCAGTGACCTATGAGGTATGTGCCTGGTAACTGCAACCTCAAAACAAACACCGGCTTTTTTCTGTAAGATATATATACATATGTAAAACATATCTTACAGAATATATATGGAGTGTACTGAGCAACCTCACTGCGAAACACGGCAAACTACATGCTGGAATAATAAGAAGCAAATTACACCAAAGGTCATTATCATCACTGGGAAATAATAATTAGGGAAAGCCTCATCAGGCCTCCACAGGAACAGATCACACAACAGCTGAGGCAGCAGTAAGGTTGGCTCCTGACTCACCAAGAAACAATGGCGGCCAGGAGACCACAGACATATTTAAAACATTGAAAGTAGCACGCTAGAATCCTGTTCAGCACAACTTCCTTCCAAAGTAAAGACAAAGACCACTTTAAGAGCCAGGAGTTCAATCCCTGACATATATGGTGGAAGGAAAGAACCAACTCACACAGGTTTTCCTCTGACCTCTGTATGCATGGACATACCCCCCCACACTAAATTTATTAAGTAGTTTTTATTTAAAAAAGACATTTTCAAATAAATTCTAGGAGAATTTCTCACCAGAATACTTGAATGTCAAAAAAATTTAAAAAAAAATTCTAGAGTACAGTGACTTGATCCTTTTGTCCCAATACTTGGGAGGCTGAGTTAGGATAAAATGCCATGAGTTTGAGGCCAGCCTGGGCTACACACAGAGCTCCACAATAGTTTAGGCTACTGACTGAGACCCTATTTCAAAAAAACAAGTTCTTCAGGTTGAAAATATAGAAAACCCAAAACTGAAACACTACATATAGTCTCAGAGGTTAAGAGCACTGCCTGCTCTTCCAGAGGTCCTGATTTCAATTCCCAGCAACCACATGGTGGCTTACAACCATCCATAATGAAATCTGGTGCTCTCTTCTGGCCTGTAGGCTCACGTGCAGGCAGAACACTGAATACATAATAAACAAATAAATCTTTAAAGAAAAAGAAACACTAGATATACAGACAAGTATATCTTTCAATGAGCTGATTTGAGTATTTAAAGCAAGAACACCAGAGGAAGCCGAGTCAAGTTGCACACACCAACTCTCTCAGCACTTAGTCAGGCTGATAGCTCTGTGAGGTCAACCTGGGCTACAGAGAGACTTTCAGGCAAGTCAGGGCTACATAGCAAGACTGTGCGTCAAAATAAAAACTAGAAAGCAATAGCAATGAACACACAAACACATGAACCATCCACTAGAAAGCATGAGAGTGTGAACTAAAATAATCTGTTTCAGCTTCATACATTACACATGATTTGTATGTGACCTATTCCAGCTAAACTGAGGCAACTTAGGATATACATTTTACTCTGGTGAGCAACAGGTGAAAGACAAAGACAGACATAGAAAGGTTTGACCCCAGGGTCAGCCCAGAGATACTGTAGAGAAATCCCCTGCTGTGTGCATTAAAACTCAGAGAGTGGCCACCCTAATCACCTGGCCACCTCCAAAATTACCCTGCCCAGAGGTGGGCGCCAGGGGAGGGGCAGGTAGAAGAGGTGACCATCTATGCAGAAGCTGAAGTTGTGCATGACAGCTTTGGGTATACTGGCTGCCATGTGTCCCTTGGGTTAAGGATAGCGCTATCTCACATTTGTCTTCCTCTACCGAGTCCTTTTCCTTGTCCCGTCCCTAGGTAGTCTGGCTCCTCCCAGCTCCATACTGCTGATTTCTTAGCCTCCTTGGCTGTGGGCAGCCAAGCCTCGGGGTCAGGATCCAGCTGAGCCTCTTGTTTCTGCCCTTCCAAGCTCCCCCTGCCTGTCTCACTTCAGTACTTGGTCTCCTACTGACTTCTAGGCAGCACTATTCATCCCAAAGGCATTCTGAGCTCCCAGAGGCTCCTAATTATGTCTGGCATCTTCTTCTCCCCTTCAGTGGCTGCCCAGAGTTATACATGCAGTACGTGCTTGAAGATGTTCAGTAAATTAATTTTTAAAACATCCTTGCTCCCAGCCCTGCACAGGAGGTACTCTCTTTCTCCAGACCCTGGAAAGCTCAGAGGCACAATTTTGCAATGAGGGTAGAGTAGAACCATCCAAGGACAGCACATTGCACTTGTGCAGCTCTTCTGGCTGGGTCTGTACAAGCATTGCTTCCCCTGAGCTATCCTTACACTCTTAGCCATCTGCATGGCCCCAAAGAGTCCTCTAGGCCAGTGTTTGCAAACTACCCTTTCCAGACAAGCTCCCCGGGAATCTGCAGGTCTGGCTGGTGGACCTGGGGAGAAGTAAAGAATCTGCATCTCTAGCAGACATTGGAGTCAGTGATGCTGACTCGGAGAAGCAAGGCTTGAATGACCTGAACAGTGAGGGTCTATCTGCTCACTCAAAGTAAGATGAACTGTTTTGATTATGTCAGAGTTGCAACAGGAGAGGGAGGGAGTCAGCAGCTCCCTGGAGATTAGCCCTGTGGCAAAGCCTGCAAATGCCATATCTGATTTTATTGCCACACCAAACCTGGGAGGCAGCCACTGCTCTGCCAGACTTAGGCTCACAGAGGACATGTAAGTTGTTCAAGCATACACAGGCAGTAGAGTGTGTGAGTGGGCTTAGACCTGAGACCTGATACCAAATGACAAGTCCCAGCCACTTCAACAAGTTCAAGGAGAGGCAGGTGAGTTCCTAATTTAGTAAACACTTGGGACTTGCTTATTCAAAACCCAAGAAATTCTGCAAGGACTGGGTGATGCAGGAAACCACTGACCCAACCTCCCCACCTCTTGTTCTTTGCAGGTGATGCTGATGAAACTGCAACACCCGAGTCCAGCAGAGACACGGATAAGCAATCGTTGATGTTGCCTGGAACCCTTTCCTCTGCCCCACTGCTGTGTTCTGTACTCAGGGGGCACTTCAGAAAACCTGGCAACTTAGTTATCACACTGCCGGGCTCTGGTGGGACACAGGAAGATGTGGCTCCCTTTGCTTCAAAGCCTCATGCTAGCAAGGGCAGCTTGACTGATCAACTGCTTGAGAAAGCCAGATAGCTGAAGCCCAGGACACACCAACTCCACCAGAAAAAAGACGGAGGCAGAGGGATGACTTGTGGGGAGCACTTCACCAAATCCAGAAATAGGAAGCTGCTACACAGCAGCAGGAGATTGAGCCCATAGGGAAGCAAGCGTGTCTGGGAAGGGATAGGGGGATACGGAAGCCTGTCAGCAGGGTCCATGTGATGGCAGAGGTGAGTCAGTGGCCAGGGTGGCAAGGACGGGATTCCCTTCCAATGGGACCCTCCACGGCAGGAACATAACAATTCCTAGTTTGACATCACCTACTATGCTGGCTGCTTGGACTGTGATGAAGCTGGCACTGCTGCTTCAGGCCAAGCCAGTGCCATACCCAGGTCAAAGGCTGCTGAGCCCCACAGGAAGAAGGGTGTCCTCTATCCAGCCCTTGGCCCCTTTGCTCCCAGCTCATGTTCCGCCTTACCTCCTATCTTTGCATTATATGCTATGCCCACGATGCAATAGGAGTTGTTGGCTGAAGCAGCAACTTCTCCTGCACAACGGGTGCCATGTCTGAAGCAAAGAAAAACAAAAACAAAGCAAGTGAGGTCCTGGCCCAGCAATTATTAATGAATCCTGTACAGTGCTTATCATTTCTACAGCCAAGGTCAGCTATCCCTATGCCTGACATGCCAGCAAAGCCCCACCCCCTTTTTCTTGGCAGCCCTTCTGGCATATATATTCAACCAGGCTTTGCCCCGCCCTGATTGCCATCTGTAGATTGCAAACAATGTTTCCCAGGTTGTTCTTTCAAGGATGCCTCCAATAGATTCCCAGTAAGGCTTGCTGCCAGCGTCCATGGCTCTGGGCATCTCTGTACTTGTTACTGTTCACTCACAGCCAGGGCTGTTCACAGACCTGGCTCAGTTCTCTGTCCCCTGTGACTAAAGATTTGGCCCTTGGCACTTAGAGGTGTGCTGGTTTCCATGCTCGCCTGACCGATACAAAGAAAGGAAGAAAACACTGCACTTTTGTCTTTGTCCCCTGTGTCCCAACAAGCACCCTGCTTGCCTGCACAGGGCTCTGTCATTTCCATAGGGGTATAACAGGAGTTGGGAAAGGACAGTTTTAGTCCAATACTCAGTAGAGGCTGGAGACAATGAGGAAATCAGCCGAGAAACAAATTGCCTTCCCCAGGAATGACCCCATCTTCTGATGTGCCACACTGGGTCATTTCCTCTAGAGGAGGCCAAAGCATGGGCCAGTCTTCATAGTACATCTGTGAGGAGAGACCACGGGGAATCGGAATCGTTGATTCAGATTTGTAACAGAATTTAAAAATGGTCCCGGGTCTGCATGCTAGCCCTTTGGAAAGGAGTCGTCTGTCATTCTCTGGAACTGTCACAGCCTCCAAGGCCAGGCCTTCTCTCAGGGCACACACTGGGATTTGATTCCGCCCTTCAAGGGTCACTGCATGGAATATAGATCATGCTTCCCCACCCCTTGATGTGTGACCAGGAAGCAGGCCCTGTGCCCCAGGCCTCCCCACTGCTGAGCAGAAGGGCACCTTGGGACGTGAGGCAGAAAGCAGTCCAGGAGCTCTGGGAGGTCAGCATCTGGCATGTGGCACACAGCGCCCCAGTGGCCCTGCACGGCACCTTGTGGAACCCACAGCATGATAGAATACTGATGGATTCTTGATGTTGAAGACCCCGCCCCCAATCTCATGTGTTAAATAAAGGCTTAGTTAGTCCCATGGTGACATGCTGTAGGATATTTGTGAGCTCTAGGAAGATGTGGTCGTGTGATTGATGTAATAAAAAGATGAACAGCCAATAGCTAGGCAGGAGGTATAGGCAGGACTTCTGGGTAGAGAGAAAGGGATTGGGAAGACGAATCTAGGCGCACAGGAAATGCCAGGAGATTTGGAACAAGTTGGACATACAGAAATGGAGAAGAGGTATAAAAAAAAAATCACATGGCAGAACGGAGATTAATAGAATCGGGTTAATTTAAGTTATAAGAGCTAATGGAACAAGCCTAAGCTAAGGTGGAGCTTTCATAATAAATAAATCTCCATGTCCATATCATTATTTGTGAGCTAGCAGCCCAAAGAAAAGTCTGTATACAGTGACATTATTTTGAGGGGCTGTATCTTTAGCAGGTAGAGATTTAGGTCATTGCACGCATGCTCCGAGGGAGACTGTGAGACCCAGACACTTTCCCCTTCTCTTTTGACTTTCTGGTTGATCTCATGCACTATTCTGACCCACTGTATGTCTACTGTATGTTCCCACCATGATGCAGGCAATGGACCGGCTGATCAAGGATAGGGACAAAGTTGTGAGCCAAAATAAATCTCTCTGTGTCTGTTTATTTCCGTCTTTCTTCCACTCTTTCCACCCGCCCCCTTCTTTATCCCTCCTCTTTCAAAGATGCATCTTGCTATATTGTCTAGGCTATCCTCTAACTCCTAGGTTCAGAAGCACCTCCTGTCTTCCCCTGGAGTATCTAGGACCAGAGACAAATGCCATTGCATGTAGCTTTACCTATTCTTTCTAAATCAACAGTCTCCAGCATTTCTTTGTCATGATAGAAAGTTGACTAACATAAGCAAGTTGGGAAGACATACACAGGCCAGTGCTTTGTCAACATGGGGAAGGGAGAAAGGGCTTTGTTACTTTCCTTTAAGTATTTTTAGCAGAATGATAAAAGTTAAGCAAACCAGGCATGCTGATAGACAGGACAAGCAGGTATGACGAAGGAAATGCCAGGAGCTTGCATAGGTCACTTGACCAATTCAGGTCGCATGAGGTGGCAATTTATACAGTGTAAACAATTCCCACACATCACCTCACTTACCCATCCTAGTAACCCTTGAGCTAGGGACATCTGCATGGAGCAACCTCCAAGACATAAAGACTGTCTCAGCACAGTTTCTCAAATGTGGGCAAACATCACACAACCAATGGGTATAGAGCAGGGATTTGAATTATTTGTCCAGCATCATTCATGCCTTCCTGTCTTGGTCATAAGGTCAAAAGCTCAAGCATATGACCTGTGTGCTCAGACAGACCAAACTGATATTTGAACACAGTTACAGAGAATCTAAGACAAAGGTGACTTTTCTAAACATCCTACAAGGCTAGAAACAGGGACCGTGTTTCACCGTTTCTGTCCAGCCAGCAGAGGCAACTCTAAAAGGAGAGGCTAACTCTAAAGAAGCCACCTGTGCCCAAAGAGTTGTGGTCAAGTGACTTCTGAGGCCTAGACATGCCCCGAACAGCACCCAGGCAGGAGAAGAACCCACAGCCCAGCACTTCTGCATGCCTTCTCTTTGTAAGGAAAGGAAGGAGGCTGTGAAGGGACATACTTATTCTCATTGCTGGCATCGTATCGTGGAGATGGGTCATAATCATTTCCATTGACATCATAGCTTGCATAGGAATCCTAGGAATTAAATCATGGTTAGTGACCAGTAGAGACACACTGTACAACAGCCTGCTTTAAACTTTCCCTATGCCAAGCAAATCACAAGAGTTGCTGACTTTAACTACCATCCTACAGGCCTTTCACTGTGATAGAATATATAGTACATATAGTACATACAATCTTATTTCAACTGTTTTTAGATGTATGGCTCAGTGCTGTTAAATCCATACACACTTTTATGCAATTATCACCTCCATTTATCAGTAGGACTTTTTCACTGTGAAAAACTAAAAGTCTGCACTGATGAAACAAGAACTCCCCACTCTGTCCCCAAGCCCTGGCAAACATGCTAACCTCTGTCTCTCACTATGACTCCACATGCTCCACAGCAGTCACTCAGTATTTGTTTTCTGTGACAGCTAATTCCACTTGGCATAAAGTCTTCAGGTTCAAGTTGTCACACCTACCAGAATTTCCTATTTTAATATGCATAGTTTTAATTTTAGTAATAGTATTCATACAAATTTCATCCTTCTTAGAAAATAAATCCCCAAGCTTTCAGTGTTAATGCAGTCTTCAAAACTCATCTCTAAGCACTATATAATTACCTCCAAAGAGGGTTCTGTGGGTTCACTTCATCACTCTTGACACCCAGGTATCTTAGAGGATTCAGTGTATTTTCTGTATTGACTGCAGACCGGGTTCTTGTCTTTACACTTGTGAACTCATCTAGTCCTTACAATAGCCCCATAAGAAGCAGTCCTCTTAGTCACCTGATTTTATAGATGGTAACATCGAGGAACAGAGAAATCAGGCAGCTTGCCTGGGATCCCAAGCAAGTGACAGAACCAGTGGCTTCCTGGACCCAGAACCTGTGTTCTAACCTGGCAGTGACCCACGGGCTACTGTGTGTGTGATGACCACCTCTGCACACAGTTTGTATTCTCTAGACTACATTCTGGAAGCATGTAACTCAAACACGTGGTCATATCCCTCTGCAAATCCTTCTCTGGTACGAGGGAGGAATAGCAGAATGCACTTCCCAGGACGACTTTCATTATTCCCTGGTTTAATGTGTTTGAGGAAGAGGAAAGGCAGTTTGTGTGTATTTTATAACTGGTGTGGGTGAATACCATGTGTCAGGTCCGAGGCTAGACTTACATAGTTGGGGGCCAGGTCTGGGTGATTCCTTTCTATGCCGTCATCAAGGATGGTGACCACCACATTCTTTCCTGTGTAGCCTCGCTTCCATGCTGCCTGGACATTCATCTCTGACCGACAGCGACTGTTCTTATCTGCACAATGCTGAAAACACAGAACACATGAGGCCCAGGGTGACTCCTCTGATGCTGAGTGGCCACAGAATGCCAACCCGGATGATCCTGATGCCTACAGGGAACGGCATGGCAACCCAGACACTCCTGATGCCAACAGGGCACAGCATGGAAACCCAGACACTCCTACTGCTGACAGGGCACAGCATGGAAACCCAGACAGTGGCGACTATATTAGGAAACAATGAAGAACAGTGGGCTCCACTTAGCAAAGACTTTCTTATGTGTTGAGACTCCTTAGTTTCTCTGCTTCTGACAGTGTGCTAACATTTCCGTATGTCACTGTCTCCTTTTGGGGACACTGTCCAGGGACAGGCCTTCCCTTCTCAGTCCATGCTACAGCCAGCATCCATGCTCTTCCTTCTATACAGAGGACTCTGGACTCTCACACAGTCTCATTTGTGCTTGCATGTAGGACAGTGGTTCTCAACCCATGGGACGAGACCTCCACAGGGGTCACATATTCAGATACCCTGCATATCATATATTTGCATCACAAGTCATAAGAGTAGCAAAATTATAGTCATGAAGTAGCAACAACATAATGTTATGGTTAGGAGTCACCTCAACATGAGGAACTGTGTTGAGAACCACTGGTGGAGAGGGCTCACACTCAAGATGAAGGACACTGGAGCTGTTCTGGAAACTCAAGGGAAAAGTCAACCCACTTCAGAGGCATGGCAAGCTAATGTCCCAGAGAAGACAGAGGTCCCACCATTGACTCACCATGTACCACATGTTGGACCAAATGGGATCGTTGAAATAAAGAGAGTCGCTTCGCGCCTGCCTCTTGACCCTGCGCTTCACCTCTTGTTGTTGGAGCCATTTTACCTACCGGAAAGAAATGTAGATATCACTTACTTCAAGGGCGCAATGTTTCCATGGGTGAAATGCTTGCTGTGCAAGCCTGACAACCTAAGTTTAAGCCCAGGAACCAACATTAAAAAACAGGAACAAAAATGATGCAATGGCTCCTATTTCTAATCCAGCACCCCTACAGTGAGATGGGGAAGCAGAGACAGGAGAATTGCCCAGAAGCTCCTGGAGTACACAGTGTAGTAGTGACAAAGAGACTTTATCTCAGACACAGTATGGAAGAAAAGAAAGCCATCCTCTGCCCTCCATATGCACACTTTGTGTGTGTGTGTGTGTGTGTGTGTGTGTGTGTGTGTGTGTGTGTGTGTGTGTTCATGCATACACATACATGTACAAACACTTTTTAAAAGGCTGGCAAGACTGCTTAGTGTATAAAGCACTTAGTACACAAACCTGAGAAACTCATAAAAATGCGGAAGAAGAAAAATAACTTCCTAATTATCCTCTAGTCTTCACACACATGCTGTGTGACGTCTCTCTCTCTCTCTCTCTCTCTCTCTCTCTCTCTCTGTCTGTGTGTGTGTGTGTGTGTGTGTGTGTGTGTGTGTGTGTGTGTGTATTGTGTGTGTGTGTGAGCACACACTCAAACTAATCAAAGAGATATATCTGATAGATGGGTATACAGAACATTTTGTTTTAAGTGACTCCCTCCCAACTTCAGTCTCTTACAGGCAGTGTGGGTTTCCTTTTGTAAGATTCCGGGTCATGGTCGGTGACCTGGATGGCACCCACCAAGGGTCATTTTTGATCACATTTGAAAGCTACTGACTTGTTATGAATGGGGGAAGGAGTGGTGCTGATAGCATCTGACAGACTTGGAAGTTATTCTACTAAAAACAATAGACTATAAAGGTGCCAAAAAACTGGTTGACAACTGTGGCTCCAAGAAAGGCAACACAGGAACGGAAAAGAATGAATGAGAGGGTGAAGAAACTGTTTAGTCAATCTGGTACCAGAGGACATGAGTAAGTAAATGACCATAATTGATGTACTGGAAATCTGGACACTGACTAGAAACATAGTACCAAAACATGCATGGAGAAAGAGCTAAAAACTAAACAGCAAAGGACTAACAATAGCAATTCTTAGATAGTGGCATCACTGCTAATTTATAATTGAAGATTTTATAAATTTCTTTCATGTGGTATTACTTGCCTTCATGATCAGGTTTGAAAGGTGGGATAAATGGCACAGAAGGCCAGAGATCTAGGACCCAGAATGACTGGAATAAAACTCAGCCCCACACTTCACAGTATCTCCTGAACCTCAGTTTGTCTGCCCATTAGAATGGGCCTATCATCATGCATTCTGAGAGCCACTGCATACACAGTGCATACAAAATATTCACACCAGTGCCCAGAATATAGCATTATACTTATTATGCATGCACATTATTTTCCAACCCAAGGTAGAAGAACCCAAGGTAGTGGAAGTGTTTTCTTTGGTCTTGCTGGGCTGGCCGGGCCCTCAGCAACGCTTGCAACTGGGGTTCAGGCTGGTATAGAGGGTCAAGACTGGAAAGATGAGAACACAATCATGCATCCAGCCCCTGCTCTCAAGGAAGCTGGACCCTATTCTGGGTCTCTCCCACAAAGCAGATGGTAGAGCAATGTCACTCTACACAAGACTGGCTGGCTGCCTACAAGACTTGTCACAGGTGAGAGAAAAGAAGGAATGACAAGGGAACTCAAGGTTATTTGAAGGTTGCTGGGCCAAGGCTGGGGACTCTAGGCTGGTCCTAGAAGTTAGAATTGGCTATCGCAGAGAAAGCAAGGAATGAGGTAGTCTTGGGTCAAAGGTAAGTAAGATTCCTTTCCCTTCTGTAAACCTCAACTTCTACAGTTCCTGGAGGAGGCAGCACAGAGCCCAACTGGGAGCCTCACAAGTAGACAATGGATGTCAAAACCTCCCTGGTATACAGGACAAACCCTGTAGGAAGAACCATGGCCTGCCCCACCACTAATATGATCTAACTATAAATCATTGATGTACCCTGCAATAAAGCTGGCTATGGGGGCACACACTGCCAATCCTAGAACTTGGGAGGCAAGAGGTTCTATGCAAGTTCTAGGCCAGCCAGAGCTACATAGCAAGACATGGTCTCAAAACAACAACAAAAAACCCTGCAAAGGGCTCAAAATCAATTTGGGATTAGACATTTTAAAAGCTTTAGCCCCAAGTCCCAGGTAATTTCTAAGTGCTACAGATAGAGATTCCTACAGAAAATAAAATGATGAAATGAGATGTTTTGCTCATCACACCCACCAATGGCATTTTACACCTCCCCCACATATGTTACTATGTGAATAAGTAGTGGTATGAAAGATTCAAGGCAGTGTTTCAGTAGCTGCTAAACACCTTGTTATATAAAACACAGCGGACTCCCCCGGCTCTGTGCTCCCTGAGATGACTATTCCTCTTGTTGTGCTGAGAGCCCTTGACGTACTGTCACCTCAGACACCTAGAGTCCCAGCGCCACCAGGCCTCGTGTCTGCACTGAGAAGGTAGCTGTGCTTTCTGAGCCTGGGTGGATGGTGTGGGGAAACAAGTTTCCAGTATGGAGTTGGCAGTTGGATGCGTTGAACACCCCAGTTCCTGGTCATTGCTGGACTCCGGAGAAGAGCCCCATGCTGACACAGTTCTGAGAATGACTGACAATACTGGCTCCTTAGCACGATCTGAAGTTCCTAATGATATGATCTCTCCACTAGTCTCCAGGGATAGGCCTGCTCATTAGAAGCAAGACAGTGACCAAGACAGTCTCAGAGCAATGAAACCAAACAGCATGGATTAGGCACCCAGTGTGGGGGTGTCTAGGATCCAACTCTGTGGACAGGGACCCAGGAGGTCAGCATAGGCACAATGGCTAATTTGGCTAGGTGTTACCCAGTCTTTTTCTCAGGCTTTGGCTACTGCATTACTCCTCAACCATCTCTGGGAAAGTACACAGGATTCCCAATCTCACTTCTTAATTATCATAAAGAATAGTCGAATTTTCCATCCTGATTTCTCTGCACAGTGGACATCCTGGAGTCACTAATTCACCTGCTCAATCAACAGACACGTATATGAGCATCCCATGGGTCCAGTGCTAGGTTCTGGGGAGATGAGAGTAAGCATACTTGGTTCCTGACCAAGGCCAACACACCAATCCTCCACCCCAGCCAGATGTGAGGCTCTGTTTGGGTGCCCTCAGGGTAGAGCCCAAGAGCCATCTGTCTACTCTAAGAAGGCCAGAAATATGCCTCTGTCCCAAAACCAAGCTGCTGAAGCTTCATCTTCCTCATCAGACAGAATACCCACCCATGTACACAGATGGGTTCTTTTGCACAGGCATATCCATGGACTCTCATTATGTATATGACTATGTGACTTACAGAAAAGAACCACATTATCGAGGATCTCTAATGTATCCCTCATGGAACTGATGCTTCTGTAGAACTTGAAAGCAAATGGTGCAGAGTCAAGGGTGGACAATGTGTCTTTTGGACTATTTTACCCTGTGTATATAACTATTTGTATTAGGAAAGCAAAAGAGAATCTCTATAAGATTAAGTATTGCCCCTTATAGTGGTTTGGATATGGATGTCTCGCATGGGTTCGTATTTTTTTCCAGGCAGGGGAGGGGAGCTCCTGCCACTTCCAGTTAGCTCTCTTTGCTTCCTGCTGGCAGTAAAGATGTGAGCTTTCAGTTTTGTTCTCCCGGCCCCCATGCCTGCACCTTGCTGCCATGCCTGCCCCATTTTGGGTTCTCAACACTCTGAAAGTGTAAGCATAAATAAGGCCTTTCTTCTGTAAGTTGTGTTAGTTGTGGTATTTCATCTCAGCAAGAGAAAAGTAACTAATACAGACATTGGTACCGGAGAGTGGGCTGTCAAGAACCTGGTCATGTTGTTTTGAAGGAACAAGGAAGACTTTGAAACTTGGGGCTAGCAAAGGGGTTTAATGCTGTAAACAGAGCTTGGTGGGCCATCCGCCAAGCAGCCTGGAAGGCGGGAGGGCTGAGAGTAATGGGGCTGTGGGGGCCTGGCTGAAGACGTTTTAAAAGGAAATGGTTTCAGGAACTGGGCTAGAGACCATTCCTATGATACTGGGCAAAGAATCTGGCTGCTTTCCACCCTAGCCCTAAGAACTTGCCTGAGGCTAAATGAAAAAGCAATGGGCTAATTTCTTTGGCAGAGAGGATTTCAAAGCACAATATTGAATCTGTGGCTTGGTTACTATTAATGACTGTTATGCAGGTCTACAATGAAAAGGTACGAGCAAAGGAGGAAAAATACAAAATGTACAGTTTAGAGAGGGGAAACACACACACACACACACACACACACACACACACACACACAGCCAGTGCTGGAAGAGGTGCTGTAACTGTTTGGGAGATCAGCATCATTAAGGAGAGGGCTAATCTATCCTGGAACAAAAGGAAGTGTGTCCTCAGGGGACAACCCTGTGTCCCCATCCGTCCCCCTCCCCCAGCTTCCAAGTTGTGAAGCTAACAAGATTCAAGGGGGCCAGGGCCATCCTAGCCAAACCTGGCAGTGCTGTCCATTTGCTGCTGGCTTCACAAAGGACCCAAGAGGGAAAGGAATCATGGTTGTTTCCTTGTGGTTTCAGAGAGCCACTGAGGCCGGGCAGTGTGTGGCAGGGAAGGCCCTGTGTGAAAGCCCTGAGAGGACAAGAGGCTCTAAGGGGCATCTTATAAATCTGTGAAAGTGAAACCTGGGTTGCAGTGGGGATCACAGACACTGGAGATGTCATAGCTGTTAGACATCTGCCGAGGGGAGCGTCGAGCTGCAGATGACAGGGTGGAACCAGCCAAGAGAGAAATGTATGTCGGTGGCAGCAAAACTGGAAGGGCAGAGCCTTTTAAGTCACTGATACCAGGGGAACCACTTGTGTTTGCTTGCTGGGATCTGGTTTTGCTTTAGTCCAGTATTTTCTCACTACGCTAC